GTTATTTTTACACATACAAATATTTAAGTAAATGCTCTCTTTATAATAAACAGTATTAACAACATTTACTGGCCTGAATGTCTGAGAAATTTCATAGAAAATATGTGTCCTCTGACAGGCATCAAACGTGTACCCATTATATAGCCTTGCTAACCAGATGCTTCCTCTGTAGCTAAATAGTATAGCACATCAGGCTATATGACAGTTCTGTGTAGGATAGAGACTATAAATAAAATAGCCAGTGCTATTGGCATATCCCATGAAGGAGTTGAGAATATTATGCACAATGAACTTGACATGATGAGGGTTTCTAGTCTGTGAGTGCCTCGTCTTCTGACACCTGATCAAAAGCACACAGGCTGAGCATATCATGGGAAAATCTGACATTGCTTGAGTAAGATCCAGTTGGTTTCCTTACCCAGGATGAATGTTGGGTTCATCACTTTGAACCAGAGACAGAGACAATCCATAGCGTAGAAACCCCCTTCCTCACCTGCTCCAAAGAAGGCCAAGGTTGTTTCATCTGTAAGAGGCACTGTGTTTGTTGACTATCTTCAAAAGTGCCACACCATCAATGGAGAGTACAATGCCAACTTACTGTTGCAGTTATGAAAGGCCCAGGAAAACTGATGAAAGGTGTCTTTTTTATCAGGAAAATGCTCCAGCATACAAGTCCTTGGTTTCAATGATTGCTGTGTGTGACCGTGGTTTTGAACTGGTTGATCACCCTCCCTATTCTCCTGATTTGGCCCCCTCTGACTATTATCAGTCCCCAACAGGAAAAAAAAAAAACAAAAAACACTTGACTGGGAACCAGTATCACAGTGATGATGATGTCATATCTGCTGTTGACTTTTTTTTTACCAACAGGATGAAAGCTCTTTTACAAAAAAAATTCATGATTTAAATTCTCCAAGTTCTGCTTTTAACTAATATAAATATTAAGGGGGTGAAAATTTAATTTCTTGAAATTTCATAAAATTAAATAAGTGAGGAGTAACAGATGTGAAAAATATATTTTTATCAAGATTTTCTAAAAAAATTAAATTTCTAAAATAATTTAATTTATTTGTAAATAAGTCTTGAAAGTTTCATTAAAATCTGACAATTATATATAATTTATAAATTATATAGATGTTATTGGGAATAATAGTGATGCAGTAATGTAACTATACAAAGACATATAAAATGAGGATTGGAAAAGGAGTGGGACAAAGAGATACAGTTTTAGTTAAATTATAGCATGCTTTGGAAATATCTTATGGAAATTGGACTGGGAAGAAATGGAAGTAAACAAACTGAGAATATGATTTCCTGATGAAAAGTGGACATTGAAGTCAACACCCAGCAGCAACAGTCTGTTTGATGTTGACTTAAATGTCCCCTTTTATATTTACATACACTCTATCAATGATATCCAATACTTTAACCCATAATTATAGTATACCTTACATATATATACATACATACATATATACACACACATTTACATCGTTCAGACTGTTGTCCTCATCTTTATATCATAAAGATGAGGACAACAATCTGAATAATGCAAATAATGTAAATAGTTACAATGCCTCATCTCAGAAATATAGACAGACACACACACATATATATATATATATATATATATATATATATATATAAAAGGAAGAGGTTATAGTAGTTCCAATGAGAGAAAAGTGTGTATATTAAAAAGAAGAGAGAAACCGTAAACGTTTTTGGTTGTAATGTGGATTTTTTTTTTTTTTTAAATATTATGCTTTATTTTCCATAATTTTGCTACGTGTTTCTGGTCTCACGACCATCATCAGCCAAAGCATGGAGATTTCAACATATTATTAAAAATAATTTTTTTTCTATGTTTTTTGATGGTAAATATTCTCAATCTGAAACATTCTCTTTTTTGTGTGTTAGTAACCCAAATGTCTTTCTTGAACTGGCAGTGAAAAGTGTATATATATATATATATATATATATATATATATATATATATATATATGTTGATGTTGACTGTTAGTTTCTATAAGAAGCTCATCCTCCCTTTACCAGGTTTTGTTTTTCATCCTGTGGGGGGACATGCCACCCTCCTCACCAGCAGAAAAACAAGTGAGGTAGCTACTTTAGATGACAACCCCCCTCCATCAATGCAGCAGGTTGTACTAGGTTACATATTACCAGTAGCAGGCCTGAGCCTAACTGGACCTTGGTTGCATATAGATAATAATAGGTTAGACATTTCTGAGTTGGATGCCATGCATAATATCCATATGAGAGCCTTGATCTGTCGAAGCTATTTAATAACATTGAGTTTTCAGTTTAATATTTTGCCTTTGTAGCATATTGGATAAGTACCCTATGTTCAACTTATACTATGTTCAATTTCCTATACTAAATTTGTTAGGCAGGATTTAAATGCAGATTTTCAAGGTAGGTAGACATAATCTCCCTATTCTGATATGATTCTGTACTATATTTAATTAAGCTTAGTAAATATTGATCGAGAGCTTTTGTGGTGAAGTATTTCATTAAAAGATTATTCTTAATCTAAGATATCTTATAAACGTTCCTAAAAATGTTGAAAGTATTACCAATTGTTTTAAGGTTGAAAAAAGTAACCACAAAAACGAAAATGTACTAAAATTTTTAGTGATTTATTATCTCTTTTTATTTTTTATTAACAATTAACAAATAGTATTTGGTCCTTCTAAGCAGTTGGAATCTTCAGCTTTTGTTGACTTTTTTAATGAGTGAGGTTTGTTTTTAGTTTATGCTAAATAAATCAATTTGAATTTTTGTTTTCTGGAAATGATAAAGAAACACTATGTTAGGTGGTAGGAGTGTTGCATGACAGGTTTGTACTTTTTTGTTACACACTTTTTAATTCATATTTTTAATTTTTATTAAATGAAAGTCTTCTTACATAAAGTGAATAAGAAACAATTTTCAAATGATTGCACAGACTTAAATTTAAACATTTCTGGATTTACATACACCAAGAAATTAAAAAAAATCTAACCAAGGAAAGTATATATGTAAATAATTAAAAAAAAATTAAATGCAATGATGATGCTTCAGAGAAAGGTAACAAGTAGAGATCAATATTCCAAAGAAACACATTGTGCTAAAGGAAAAAATTCTAAAAAGAAACAATAAAAACAAAAATCCTTTTTAACAACAACAAAAAAAAGATTTTGTTTACTATTTTCAAATGCACGGATAGAACTCAATTACATATAATAAATTATTTATTTTTGTTAAAAAAAAGAAAAGAAAATGAAATATTTGAATAGATTCGCAATTTTTTAAAACTAAAAAACGTATTTTAAATAATTGCAGTTTTAAATATAAAAGACAAACAATAAGAACAAACTCTTTAATAATAATAATAAAAAACAAAACAAATCAAAGTAACTTTGATTTGGTAATATTAATTTTAAGTTTTAAAAGACCACCAACAGACCTCACAGTAACACTCATAATAACTGCGTATTAAGAAATGGGTGCACCGGAGAAAAAGCACTGAAAATGATTTAACAATAAGTCAGGCACATCATGTAAAAAAACCTCATCACAATTCACTCAGAAAAGCCTTACTTTTGTCTTACTACTGGTAACAAAGAACAGTATCAGATTATAAATAATGAAAATTTAAGAGGGAAAAGTAAGTAAATGCCGTTCTTTTTTAGATAGACTAAACTGAGGGTTGCGCAAAAAATAACATTTTGTTTTTGTTACATAAATCTTTTATTGCTTATTCTCGTTGAATTTAGTTTAGAGAAAATAAATTCATCAGCTAGGAATGATATAGGATTTCATAATGATTGCAAAAAGGAAAAAACACGCTTTATATGCAAGACGATGGCACATTGGTCAGGACTTTTACTACTAAAATGCAAAGGAGTACTACAAGAAAGAAGAAAGTGAAAAGCTTTTGTAGCCCATTCATAATATGACTGACATCACTTCCCGCCGACTGACATCACTTCCGTTCATTTCAGCCCTGCAGATTCACAACTCGGTCCACTTTACGGCAAACTGAGAATAAATATTGATATCAACAGTTTAAGTAACAGCAATAAAAATGAAAAAAGCATTTAAATCTGTTTAAATACACTCTATTTTCAATGTCTTTTCTTTATTTTGTTTATCTCCCTAAAGATTCTATTTTTCTATAGCTCGTCTCAAATACATATTCTAGAGTGGATTACGGTAATAGCAGTTTTTCATCAATATTACTCCCCCTCGTACCTCTCAGCTCACTTGCTATCCTTCTCCTTTTACTCATTTCTACCTCTCTGTTTGTTTTCTGGTTGCACACTATCAACTCTCATTCATTTCATTCCTCCCACTTCAGTATCGCTATTGTTATTGACGCTTTATTTTCCTCCTACTACTACTCGCTTATTTTCCCTCTCTACTTCACCCTTGTCTTCTCTTGTCCCTCTCTCAGTCTTAATACACACACAAACAGGGCGAGAAGGCTTACACTATTAAGCAACCTTACTACCTACCCAGTCTGTTGACTCTTTTTTTTTTCAAGTTGTAAGTCCACACAAAAACCCTTTTTATACACATTAACATCAGAAAATCTTCTGTAATTAACTTACCTTTTCAGCTACCTACTCTCAATACACACACACACATATATACTCGCACATATATATTTATATCATCTATCTATATTTGTACATATACACCTAATAATAATAATAATACTAGTAGTAGTAGTAATAGAAATAATAATAGTAATATAGTAATCTTGTGCGTGTGTGTTTTCTTTTTCTCTCTTCCTCCTGTCGTCGTCGCCCCTTTTCTCTTTGTCGTCGTCAATACTCGTCGATTTATGTGGTCTGGTCGCCACTAAGGTGATTTTTATTTATCACACTCACACCCACCCAAAACTGACAACATCTCGAGAAGAAGGAAGGAGACGATTTGATTAAAGATTACCCAAGACAACACCAGAGGGAAAAGTGAAAGAAGAGGAAAAGTAGAAGATGCCGCCGACAAGGCAAAGGAGAATAGCCATGATGGGATACAGATCTGTTGGTAAGAAGAACAAGAAACACTCGTTTTCTTTCTCTCTCTCTCTCTCTTCATACTTATTATTATCATTGTATAATAGAAAGATAAGAAACATGCGTGTATCTACGTGATATTAAGCTACGTGTGTATACATGATTGTTATTCCGCTGCGTACAATACACGTGTATTTTACCTGTTCTCTAATTTAATGTATATTATTAAATAAAGGCATTACTTTTCCCTTTTTATACACGTGTGTGTGTGTGTATTTAGGTATGTGTCCATTTTAGCATTGAAGTCTCTTCTTTTTGTATTCCGTTTTTGCATGGTTTGTCTTGCTGAAGTATTTTTATGGTCATTTCTTTTTCATATTTGCTCAGTAACAATTATGGAAAATAATAATAAAACCAGTTACTGTCTGCTCATTTTTTCCCACTACACACGTGTGTACGTACTCGCATACACATATCTTTCTGACTAAACATGAAAAAAAACTGTTTATTTTTCCGATTTTTAAGTGATATAAATACAGACCTTAACTCCAAGCAAGTAAAATTTTTTGACGCTCTCTACAACCATAAAAATGTGTTATTTATTCGAGAATAGAGAATTAGTTTTGTTCTCAAATAGCTTTTTTTATTTGGAGTTTATGAAATTTATTTCAGTTATTGAGTAATATAAATTTAATTTCCGTCTATCGTTCGTGCATTTTAAAACCGACCACGATGTATAAAGCCTAAAAAAAAGCTAATTGAGAAGTATAGTTCTAAAACTCGGTAAATTAATTTGGGGTTCAGGTTAAAAAAGAAGTTTTTTTTCCGAATCATGGATTTTCCCTGGATTAAAAAAAAATGTCTTAATGAAAGGGAAAACTTGACACCAGTAGTATTTATGAATTATCACATTTAATTGTTATGTTTTTTAAAAACAGAATTTAAAAGAAAATGCCATTTCGGATGAACAGGACCGAATAAAATGAACCACACTTTAACCCACGTGACTTGAGACCAGCAATTATAAATTCTATTATCCCGGAAAATATTTTTATCCGAAATTTATTTGCGTTAAAACTTAAAAATCCAATAATATTCTCTCGAAGATCTCTAATCCTCCCGCTGAACTCAGTTTCGTTTTCATTTTTGAATGTCATATTTTTTTTGGGGGGGACTCCCCCCCCTCCTGTAATTATAATAATGCTGCTACATTTCAAATGCTGGTTCACGACGATATTGTTCCATCGCTTAAATATCGAAGAGCTTGAAAACTCTCGTCTTTACCAATTTTCCATCATTACACTCTCACTCCCCAGACGTATTTTTATGCATGCAAATGTGCATTCTTGCATTTTTTTTATTTAAATCAAATGCATTCTGTATTCTTGATAAAAAAAATATATAAGAGCCATATATGCTGCACATTGACAGCATAAGTATCAATCCCCCACCCCTGGTTTTATTTTATTTTTATTTTTTTAAATGCATTCAAAAAAATTAAAAGATGACGGACTTTGATTTTGTAAGTTCTCGCCAATGGTTGCACCATTTACTGCAGCAGTATTTTTCTCCCTTTTTCCTGTTGCAAATTAACGCCTGTCTGATCTAATATCAATCTCTACCATCATCATTTTCTGAGTGCACTCCATCTGTAGTAGATGATGGTTGGGGTGGATGTATGAATGAAAGTCTAGGCTTGGCTCACCATGGCTGCTACTACTACAACTACTACGTTTCTTCCAATGCTTTTACAACTACATACATCCTGATCGCATACTACACAACAGCAGCCCTTGACTCCTCTATTCCTTATTTGCTTTATTCATTACAAAAAAAAGTTGGTAGTTTTTTAATAACTATTTTTCATGCCCTTCTGATTATCACAAGTCCTTAAAAATACCAAAATATCAGTATTTGAATCGACATTAGCGACGCACTGGTTGGATGAATTTGAAATATACAGTTCTGAGTTAGGGTCTTTGGTTGTTAATCGAATGAGACGGCAGTAATCGAAGACCCTGTTAGTGTATGTGGTGGTAATATTATTAACTTAGCTTAAAGTTTTATTTTTCATATCCTAGTTTGTTTGCTCTTCTAAAAATAGATGCCTAGGATAATTTGGGGTTTTGAAGAAATCAGGGATAGAAAATACGACTGACCCATTTTTGCCTTTTTAAAACCTACAAGAAGGAAAAAAAAATAAGCCCAGTCATTTACATTTTGTTGAGGGATTTTAAAAATTCTTAATTTTTAAATCCTTTGCTTGTAAATATATTTACTTTGTTAATGAGATTGTATATATTTAATTTTTGAGGTCATTTTGTTTTCTCATTCATGTCTAAAACATTAATGAATATTTTCCCTATTGTCACATTGTGTCTCTACTTGCATGAATGAAGAACACAAGCAATTCATCTTGTCGCCTAAAAAAGAATAAAATTTTATTTTTCTGTTCCACACGCCGTGTAGACAAGTTTTTAATCCCCTGCCTTAATCTGAACATTTTTTCCCTCCAACGCTGCAAAAAAAAAAAGTGGGGGAGGGTTGACCTCCCCCACTTTGCTACCCCATTATTGGTATGGTTGATATATTTCATTCATTCATTCCAGTAATCAGAATCCCGCAACAACCCTCTTTGCTACTTAGCAGCAGCATAAGGAGGAGGAGAAAGAGGTTTCTTTCTAGTAAGCTCCCTTTTTCTAATGTAGCCTTCTTCAGTTCTAGGAATGTTACTGCTAACACTAGAAAGAAGCATAATAATTATATAATTACTAGGGTAGGTTATTGACAATATTTTATAAAAAAAAAAAAAAAAAAAAAAACAATGAACCTTTTAAAAAACGTCAATATAGAAAACAAAGAGCATTGAACCACTGACTAAACAAATGTCCTAATGTCCTCAAAATAGTATGATAATCTTAGGCTTGATTTTAGCTTTCCTATTGAAGTAAACTAAGGTAGACTACTTCCTTTTAGGAGTAAGTACATGCTGTGTACAATTTATGCTTCTGATAAATTTTGAACAAAAGGCATTCCAAATGGTTGTATTTGGTATGTTATTTTTTATTTATTTTTTTTTTTTCTCAATTGTTGTATTGATATTTTCATAGACTGATTGTTTTGACAGAGGCCCAGTAATTTTGTGTTAGTATTCATTATGCGGAGGAAAAATCCTCTTTTCAGTTTTTATTTTGGAGCTCTATTTCTTAATCAGAGGCTATGAATGTAAATAGTAAATAATGTTATAATTTCAGAATAGAAATTTTGATAATTCAACAACTGCAAATTATCTCTTATACAAATTTCATTAAAAATGGTTCTATTTAGTTTATGCTGATGGCAGTTTGGTTAGTTTTTTTTAATTTAGTGTCATACCTTTATTCGAGACAATCTTCAAATTGGGAAGTAACAGATATAGATTGCATTTTAATTTTTAAATAACTGATTTAAATTTATATTGTAAGTTTACTTGCAAAATCTGCCTCTCCCAAACTATTTTTCCATTGCATTTGAATGTATTTGCTATAAAATTCAGGTAATGACCGTTTTTGAAAAAAGAATTTAAAAAATATTTTATAGATTCTTAAATGAAACATTTTAATGTTATATAATTGCAAACTAGTTGGTTTTGTTTGTGAATGATAAGTTTGAGAGGTAACAGTTGTACTGAATGTAATTTCAGTGTTCCCATTTTAAATATTCAAAGGAAGTTTGTTTGGGTTAGTATTTTCTCAAAAAGATACAGTTGTGAACTTAATAGATAACTGAGAAGATAAGTTAACATTTTGACCTGTAATAATCTTAGTCACTGTACTCTGACCAGGTTATTTTTTTGTTTTTTGTTTTATGTACTTCTATTTTTTGGTATCACTTTTTTTATTTCATTGTTATTTAGGAAATATACTTTTTTCCTTGTGTAACAATTTGCGCACTGTATTTTTGAAATCTGTTGTCTTACCAATGTTATGTTTTATAGGCTTGCGCTTGCAAAAACAAATTTAATGAATGTGACTATAATGGAGTGATGGAATTATAAGGGTTTGTCATTCTTGTATTAAAGGCCTTTTCCAAAGCATCTCGTTTTGAAAACTAATATCTCTTGAGAATTTAGTTATGCTTATTTAACTGTATTTAATTGGCATCAAATTATTATCCTTAATCTAAAATCCTGTGTAATTTGCAGCTAATCAGTAGCTTTTTATATTGTCTCTTTTTGACACTAAATATTTTTTAATTTTTATGGCAGAAGAGATTTGACTAAGTTCAGTAATGAAAATAGAGTATTTTGAAACCACATTTTAATTATACTGGGTAAACTTTTCATTAAGTAGTATGTCAACTTACTAAGATTCTTTCATTTCATAATTAAAATTAGACCAATTGTTTTTTTTTTTTTTTTTAATATTAAGTAGGTAACTTTGTGGCTTAATTATTTTAACATTGCAATTAATTAAATATTATCCATTTTAATTCTGTCTTAATTGCAAGATAATAACATTTAAAAGTAAGCAAAAGTAATTTAAACTTTTATCACTAACTTATACTATTTGCTTGCATTTGAAATAGTTATTTAAGTTATTACAATTTATCTTAAAATTAAAAAAACAAAAAACAAGCTATGATACCTATGTTAAGTAAACATTGTTACTAAATTGACATTTAAGTCTTATAATTTAACTGTTGAAATTGGTAAATGTTGCTAAGTTTCTTTTCTTGCACTTGTGGAACTCTTTTTCTGGTTTCTTACTTTCCTGTCAACAACGATCTTTAAAAGTTTAAATGCAACATCAATCCTCTTAGTGGCTTTATTGCCTTGTTTGGGTGAAATGATTAAAAAAAAAAAAAAAAGTTAATTTTTAATTTTTTTTTTTTTTTTTTACTTTGTTTTTATTACTTCCAAATTGAAAAATATATTACATAATTGAAAGCTCTGAGATATATGTATTATTTGTTCTGTTGAAGTTTGGGAAATGATAGTATGAGAATTTCTCAACCATTGTGGGAAGACATTCAGTCTCTGCTCTCATTGGA